TGTATATATGTATGTTCCCCACATTGTGAATAAATAACAAAACTTAGAGCCATCAAATTTTGAATATTGTAGTCTTCAACTTCACCATGTGCACCTGGAAGCCCGAATTTTGATTTTTTAATTTCTTTTAGTATTTATTTCATATTTTGTAAAACAATGAATTTTTGATTAACAAACTCAAAGATCTGAAAGCAAGCAGTGGCAACACTGTTCAAAATAAAACATTTTTATTTCCAGCACACGAGACTGTCACCATTCGTAAAAATATAATCTTTCAATTTTTAAATAACAAACTTGGCTGTACGAAAGCAATGTGGTGCTGTGGCGAAAAATAAATTTTATCTGTTGTTGTTGGTAATGCTCACTGTTGTCGTTGCTAATGCTATGAGCTTTTAATATTTGCTTATTATTATTATTGATTATTATTTATTTTAATACAAAGCTTTTAATATTTGTTTAATTTTTTATGCAATTGATTTAAATAAAGATGAATTAAAATTATGAGATGTCTAATTAGAAATATCCCTTATTTTTATGAAAGGACACTACCTGGACTCATTGAAATCACTATTAGCCCAAAAGGGTGTTAGACTGAAAGGGCTATTAGTCTCAAAATGGCATTTTGTGTCATTTCACTTTCTGCATTGATTCACTTTTCAAACTGTTGTCACCAAATATTATCGCCATGTATTATATTTAAGGAAACTAAATAATGAAGAATCTGCATGAATGTTTCTCACATAGTGAAAAAACAACAGTAACTACAGTCATCAAATTTTGAATAACACAGTCCTCCATCCGAACATGGGCAGTTGGAAGCTCGAATTTTGTATTTTGAATTTGTTTATTACCTATTTCATTTGTACAACTTTAATGAATTTTTTATTATCAAACACACAATGGCAACACTACACGGAAAAAACATTTTTATCTCCAGCGTGCGAGACTATGCATACGAAATTCTAAAGATATAATGTTTTTAAATATTTTATGATATTGCTGTTGAATTGAATTTTAGGTGGTTTAAGTGTGACAAAGATGATATTTAATAGAGATAACATATAAAATGTTAAAAAAATTTTTTGATTGTAATATAATATCCGAAAGCTTTCTAATCTTCTATTTTTTATATATTTTTCTTTTTTATCATAAATATATTAGGTGGCTAGTTGCACAAGTAGCTATTTTTTACAGAAATAATACAGCATATATAAAAATATGCATGCCAACCTCTAACACTCTGTTGGGAAATTTTCAATATTTTGGGATTTTGTTGTTGGATTGTGTGTGGCCTAAGTGCAAAGAAAATTATGCTTAATAATAAAGCTAAAAAGATAGAAAAAAAAAGGTTATTAGAAGTGAGTGCAAGAGCAGAATGGTAGACTGCAAGCTCAGCAAGAGTAAAAAACCTTAACAAACCCTTCTAGATGACTGCTAATCTGAAACCTGTCTGATTTGTTTTTCTCATTTTATTTTCAACATTTCTAATGAATTGCTGCTGCTATTGCTGAGCCAAAATCTTAAAGAAACCACAGAAAGGATTTTTTAGGATTGCTAGTTTTTTAATACCCTTCTAAGCTAGGGTGTCAGTGCTAGTTAGAAGAACTCTCAAATTCCATCGCTGATTTTATGGAAAGTACACCCCAGTATAGTGCGACGTTTAGAGGCTCACCTATGCTTTAATTTTTACTGTCATTCAGGAAACTGCAACTCCATAAAATAATCAGGGATCACACTGACAACTTTCTTTAATGATATACTCGCAGATGACGAATTTAGAAAAATACTATATTGTCACAATACCACACCTTGCCCTTCCCTCAACAGTCCAGAAATCATGATGCATAAATGAATCTCTAGAAAAACAACTTCTTATCTCCCCTGATCCTAGTTTACTTCACTCAAAACTTAAACAAGTACAAATACAAACAGCTGAAAGAGCATGGCACTTTGCTGAATACCAAGTCCACAACAAAACTGAATGCAGAGATGGAAAAATCAAAGAATTCGAAACAAAGATTAATGCACTCATCAAAGCTCAACAAGATTCTCCTTCAAAGAACAAAGAAAACAGCATTGCTGAAGATCAAGTAACTCCGACCAAATAACCACAGAACCTTCCATAAAAATTAACTATAGATTTAATGGACTTTAAAATAGAACAAATAATAAACATATGGATAAGGAAAACACAGAACTATGTAATCAACAAACTATTCAACCTCTCTACATTGCAAAAAAAAAAGGGGGGGAAAGCATCGCCAGCAGTTATGCAGTATCACCTACTGCAATCAATAAAACTACTAAGGTTGCTGAATTCTTGCAAATCCTTAGGATCCAAACTACATGTCAATAACCCGACTCACGTAGATTTATACGCAAGACAAATCTACAAAATAATCTTAATCATATGCACACCAACGTCCTGAAGAAAAAATTCTAAAAGTCATTATTTGCAGCCTGTTTGTCACCACAGATCACTATGCAAAGTCCAAGAACTCCACAATCAAGGTTTCACTTCCAACCTCAAGCAAAATGTGAAAATAAACCAATGCCACGTTTCCTGATCCACCATCCAAAAATGACTGCTAAAATAAGAGTTTTAAATATCAACGTATCAGTGACTCCATGGTCAATTATGTTTACACTGAACCGCTTCTGCGAGATATTGGCATCCGTTTTTCATGACAGTCATAATTTTTATAGTCAAGAGTATATTTATTTCAAGTGAATTAAATTGTGCTAAAATAAAGTACTTCTGCTTCAAAAAATTTATAGAAATTAATTCGGTTATTTTAATTATTTAGGATTTAATCAGAAAATTGCAATAATTATTATTCTTTTGTACTTTGAAGATGTAGATTGTTTTTATGGAATTAATAAAAAATTCAAATGTTATGTATGGTATTAGCAATTCTGTTTTCAATAATTATGTTCAATAAATTTTAGTAGCTTTCAAATTATGTCAAACATGCCAGTTATAGAAGTTTATTAAAATTTAATATATTAAAAATATTAATTTTGGATTGTTGTTAAAAACCTCTGAATTATTATGAAAATGTGGTAAATATGAAAAATGAATGAAATAATTTTGAATAGTAGTGAAAATATAAAACTTGTATTTCTGAGCACTAATATAGTAAATGTTAATGGTATGGAATAAAGGCGGCCCTGGAATTTTGCATATTTTTATAAATTAATTTTTTTTTTTTTTAGTTTTTATCAATATTGCAAAAGTTCCCATGCAGTAGCTGATGCTCACTTACACACTGCCTCCTTGAGCAACAGATTTCTCGAAATCGTTATGATGTCACTAAGTTTCCGATCTGCGATGCGGGCATCCTAGTGATGGAGGAACTGCAGCGTTGATATGAAAAGAATGAAATGAAGGATTCATAAACTTCACATGATCGGGACATAGTTGGAAATAATTACACATTCTGAAAATGATGAATCTTTTGTTTGTTGACTTTTCGTATGACATAAGCAGGTCTACAATTTGATCAGTTTTGGAAAAAAAGAGAATAAAATTAAGACCTATATTTAGAATTTTGGAAATAGAGCTTCAAAGACTGTTCCTAAAAGACATGCCATAATGATGAATGAAATGGAAAGATATTTGTCACCATAGATCAACATCAAAACAATGTCTAAGTCAAATCCGATTCTGCGTAAAGATTGGAAGCCTACATCAAAAGATTTTATCGGGATGTTTCCAGTAAGTAACGGCTGGTTCAACAAACTTAAAATGATGTATTCTTCACTTAATATTAAATTCACTGGAGAATTGGCAAACACAGTTAAAAATGTTGCAAAAGAATTTATTTCCTCATTATCCAGAATTATTGTTGATAGAGAATATGGTCAAATGCTCCAATATAGATGAAATGTACTTTTTTTTGGAGGGAGGGATATCTAATCGTACATTCTTACTAAAGGAAGAATCACTCACCCCTGCACATAAACCCAGTAAAAAGCAACAACATTTCTGATGAAAATTTAGCAGGTGATTTAAAATTTAATCCAATGATAGTTTATCAAGCAGAAAATCTCACAGTGTTAAAAGGGAAAATAAAGAATTGCTTCCAATCATTTGGAAATTTAAAAATGGTGGAGAACCCTCGACTGGTGCTCCATGGTAAAGGTAATGGCACTTTTATGAAAGTCAGCCATCATTTGGCAGGATAGAAAATTCCACAAAGATGCCTTGACATGGATTGGATTATTCAATTATGGCAAAGCACACGAGGGCTATCTGCCGAAAAGGAGAGATGCCTTCGTGGAGGACTTTCTAAGGAAAAATGGCTTGTATACATGTTACACATGAGGAAAACCATGAAAATGCCCATGCAGCCAGCCCGTTCACGGTATTCGAACCTCAGACCGAACTACCAATGTTCAGTATCTTTACCGCTCGGCCGCCAATGGGCCCACCTCGACATGGAAGTGCCCGCACTTTTATACTGAGGCACTACTACACAAGTAAAATCTTCATTAGCTTTATTGATCAAGATGGCAAACTAAAAGTGCACCTGCATAGCAGTGTCCCAAGTGGCCTTTTGTGAAGTCTGTTTTTTTTTTTTTTTTTTTTTTTTTTTTGTTTGTGTGTGTGTGTGTGTGTGTGTGTGTGTCTGTCGTCAAATTAAAAAATTTATCTTCATAAGGACACACGCAGCTTTATGTCAATGCATTCTTGTACAAGTTTTATCAACAGACAGTGGGGAACTTTCATAAAAATACCAATGCAGCACTAATGAGATATCCAAATTTTCTAATTCACTATCAGGAACTTCAGATAAAGTTCTACTTTAACTGGAGACTCAAATAAGTTTGTAGTATATGAATTCTGAAAAACTGTTCTTAGAAAAAAACAATATAGAAGAAGAATTTAACATGACAATTACATAAAAAAAAAAAAAAAAAAAAAAAAACTACTCGACCTCTGGGTAACATTTCCAAATGTATTTAAAAAAATACAATAATGTATCATACAACCAAAATAAAACTTTACAAATTTATTACAATTCTTGTTTAGGAATACATACAAATATAAATTAATGCCATGGCTCTTGTTTTAGATGACTAACTTGGCCAAGTTTGTAGTACCTAGCAGTAGGAACAGAAATACCTGAAGTATCCATTTTTGATAAAGTTTCAGATTCATTATTAATTTGCTTTTCAGCTACTTCAGTGGTGCCATCACCTTTTAAAGTTGCAAGACATTTCCATTTTTCTCCAAATGAAGCTAAAGGGGAAATAAATATAATTTTTACTACATGATTTAATATTCAAGACTTTGATTAACTGCGTTAAAAAATCTGGAAAAAGGAACATTCAGTTTTATATTTTGTAGGATTTTGTTTTAATGGTAAGAAAAAAAGGTTTAAAAAAAAAGCTTTTGCAATCTGATTTTTTAGTATTCAACTTATCACAGATGCATAATATCTTACACAAAAATAGCTATACATAGCTTTGTTTCTTGGATGGGAGATGCAGTAAAAACACAACAATTTTTCATTTTCAGTAACTTTTATTATTTGTAAATAAAAGCAGCTAAAAAGTGAAAAAAATACTGTTAGAAATATGTCCAAACGATTAGAACAAATGATTACAGTGAATGATTTGTTAGATAAATTTTCCTTACACATTACGAGTGCTCCATTCATGCCTCATTGACAAGTGTGGAATCAAGTTCAGTACCATTTCATTATTGAATGATGAGGACAGTAGCAGTGCATTCTTTAAGCTTTCTTAACTAGTATCATAAGCAGTAGGGATATGTACGAAAACATAGTTGTCAAGATACCCCAAAGGAAAGTAGTCATAAGGCATTAAATCAGGAGACCTGAGAAATCATACTACAGAATTTATGGATTTCACTACTACAGAATAGCTGTAGTAGATCATACTACAGAATAGCTGACTATCACTTAGACATCTGTTGTGTGACCAATGGGACACATGTAACATTTGTAATGAGTAGGAATAAAAAAATGAGTAGTTTTATTTATGTAGCTATTATTGCATATTTCAATACATTATACAGTCAAAAGTTGTTAATTCAGACACCCATAATCCGGAATGATCTATAATCCGGACCTACAAACTTTCGCACGCGTCGCGTTGATAAGCGTTTACGCATGCGCTTAAGACCTTTACAGCTGCGCATATGCGTGTGCGCATGCGCGTTTAATGTATAACGGATGGTATAAGATAAAACTATCTAATTATCTATTTCAGTTAATGTTGCAGATTGCATTGTTCCTTAATCTTCGAACTGGGTCCGGCTTATTATTTTTTGCAGACTGTTAAAGCAATTTTATAAAAGTAAGCTTGAACTTTCGATTATGTCAAATAGAATTTCCGATGCTGGAGCTCCCAAAGGATCTACAAAGCGAAAGTATGTTTCGATGTCCATCAAACAAAAAGTGGAATTGCTGCAAAAAATGGATAAATGCATATTCTTTATTTATCTAACCATTCCGAAATCTGTTTATCAATTTCACGCTGCTCTGCAGGGGGGGAGGATGCGCTGTGGCGCGCAATTAATTGGAAGCTGATCTGTCAGCACTATCCTTATCTTCAGGGCAGATGTTTTTATTTTATTCGGCTTATAATTCCTTACTAAATGTAGTATTTCCTTACGATGTACTCCGTCTTTGATATGATTTAAATCAAATTCCTCCTAATTATAATTCGCTTCTGATAGTGAAGAAAGTGACACAGAGGTTATTGAAAACGAAAAAATTTCGATTGACGAATTAGTCGGTATTCTCGACACAGCAATTACAGGACTTGAACAGTGGAACCTTGTAACTAAACAAGAAATTATGTTTGTTTAATAGAATTAAAGAGAAAGTATTATCACATAAAACGAAGCAACTTAACTTACATTAAAAGAAATGTTTAATAAAGTAAATAAATAAATATTAAGCTTCCCCCCCCCAAATTTTGATACCCTTTAGATCATAATTTTTCTTTATTTCATAAATTACGGTTTCATATTTTTAATTTTTTAATTTCTGCATGCCATCTTATCAGATTTAAACTGATGATTTATTATCCGGAAAAAACCCTTATCCGGAATCGCCGAAGTCCCGACGAGTACGGATTAACGACTTTTGACTGTAATTGCATATTTCCTATATGTATCACAGCATCATTACTGCAATTACTGCTGCATATTTCCTATATGTATCAATTATAATTTTATATTTACAGGATTTGTACAAATTTCTGCACATGGAAATTAAGTACTTTTAAGGACCTACAATGAATAAATTTAATCACATACGAATAATCAATGAATAAAATTAAAGACCTATCAGCAAACATGAACTGAATAAATTAAAGCAATTATCTACACCTGAACTTCACTTTTTTAATATCACTTTTGTAAGAATAAAATAAACCTGGAAGAAGGATGCATTATTATTAAACTTAATATTTAACTTTATTATAAAACAAATTCATGATTAAAATTAACTTCATGATTTTTCTCAAGTAATTAGCATTAAATTATAAAATTTCTTGAGATATTTATGTTTTACACTTATAAAAGTCCCATATACTTTAAAGAAGATTAGTGACTTTATTTAATTTTACTAACAGTTAACTTAATAGTGATTCTTTCTTAAGTTTCACTTCATCATGTACTCACTCAGTCCAAAGGCTTATGGAGACTTTATGTCTAGCATAAGTTAAATTGAGAAGTAAAGTAATAATCAACATGATTCATAACAGAAACGGTTAGTGTTGAAAGTTAGCTGCACTTAGCCTAATTCAGTTAGTGTCATAGCTTAGTGTAGATTCGCTGGAGTCATAATCCAATTAATATGATGTTCCAATAAGCTGTTGAAGCACCAGAGACGATAGGCTACTTTTTGTTATTTTAAATATCATTAGATGTAAGGAATAAAGTTTAATGTTAATTTTTACATTTTTGTGTTGTATCGTACATCCAAAATAAGGATTAAGGAAAGGAAATAAGTCACCTTAACATGGAGAGATAACTTTTAAGGGTAAGCAATTAGTTGCAAATGATTAAATTATTTAGCTGGCTATCCTTAATCATAATAGACCTACATGGTTACAATTATAATTTTTTATTTCTAAAAAATATCCATTAAAAAAGCACTAAGAACATTTTACAGCAGTTATAACTAATGATATTGATTGATTGGCACTGAGGTATGTATGATGCACTGGGACATACATGATTAATTTTTTAATAAATTGCTGCTTTTCAGTTTGCTTGCTTGCTTCAATGCTTGTGTCAGGAAGAAAGATAAGAAAATAAAGTGAGGAGGAGATTCAAAGAATTTTGTTTTCACAGTTCTTCCAAAAATTTTTCAAAAGCTAAGAAATTCATCACAAATTTCCTATGAAACACATCTATTATGTGTTAATACCATGAAGACATTTTTCCTTTCGTCACATTTTTCTAGAATTATAGGTCTATAAATCTTGCCATTAAATCCTTCTAAACCTTCCGAACCGCTAGGTCTAAAATCTCTATGAATTGTGTGAAGCAAAAAGCTAGATGATTTTGGGGGGAGTGGGAAGAATTTAGAAATGAAATGTGCAAAGTGAATTCTCAAGAAAACTGATAGAAATTTAAATATTTTGACAATATTACATGAGAAAAACTCTCATCATGAAAAAATATTAAAGGAAACAAATGAAATTAATTATTTATAGTAGCTTTTTTGTTTTATCCTCAAAAGCATTTCAGAAACTGTGCTTTATTATTTACAACAGTATTGTTTATTTTTCAAACTGAAAATATTCCTAAGTCACAAAAATGAAAAGTAATCTTACTTTACAGTAATACATGAAAATAAAAATATTTAATTTTAACATTATTTCTTAATATAATTTTAAATTATCATTATTTTTATGACATTTATCAATGTTATTATATCTGTAAAAAAAACATCCAAAAATTTGCAAATCTCTGAATAAAAAATTTTGCATACTAATGACAAACTTTCAAAACAAAACATGAGTAAATTTTTCAATAAAAAACACATTCAAATCTTCCGAACATCCATTTTTATTTTATTTTAACAACTGCTACAGTAAAACAAAAAAACAAACAAACAAAAAACTTTTTTACGTAGTACTTTGCTATTGTGCAGATACTATACAGAGTGAGCTAACGATTATCACAGCACAAACACATAAATTTTTAAAATATTACAAACTGATCTTGAAATCATCAAATTTAGTGCCACAAAACAAAAGAACTCCTATTTCAAAAAATCTGAAACGAATTTACATATTTTCGAGTTTTGAAATTTGGCATTTTTTTTTAGCGATAATAATGCCAAATGTGGTTTATGGATTTTTGTTACAGTGAATTGCCACAGCTATTTTTAACCTTAAATTTCAAGTAAAATTTTACGGAGAATTAATTATATGAAATATTTTCCCTCAATGATGCATAATAAATATTTATTAATACTATATGAAAAGCTATTTTTTTTTTAAATTACATGATATTATTCAAATTTTTAACTATTTTTTTTTAATTTCTCTCTTTCTTCCTTTTTTTTTAAAAAATAAGAGTAAATTTTCGTAAGAGTAAATTTTTACCTTCGGCGTTTTATCGTCTGCTACTTTACTTTAACTTTGTTTAAATCGAATTGTCTATAACTGAGAATTTTCGTTTGATGTTTATTTGAATTTTATGAAAATATTTTATGACATTAACTGCATAATTTATTTCTAAACAAACTGTTGCTTTTGAAGTGGCTGAAAGAGCGGCTGATACTATCATCCATATTTTTAAAGCACAGTATATTTTTATAGAAACATAAGATTTAGAATAATCATTTTTTATAAAAGTCAAATTATGATATAAACATACAACCCTCTAGAGACTGAATTAATGGAAGTTCAATGGTTATGTAGAAATGATCTGCAGCTACTTAATGGCTGGATAAGTCAGCAGGTTCTGTGGACAAGTAAGAATAATTATATAAACGACACCAACATTCTGGATTCAATTAACAACGAGGATACGATGTTTATTAAATGAATTTAAGAAGTTTTAAAAACATAAAAAATCAACTCATTTTTTATCCTAAAATGTATTTTGTGCGTAGCGTATTTTCATTATATCCTTAAAATTCTAATTTAGAATGTAATTGTCAAGAACTGAATCCTAATCATCAGTAATATAATAAGTAATTATTATTACGGTTATTAATAAATCCTTCTTATAAAGTAATTGCAAATATT